CTACTTCATCTTGTTTTTTTTAATTTTTTATGTTCTTGTATAATCAAATAATTCTATTCATATTATAAGCTCGACATACATTTCTTATAATAAAGATTTTAAACACTAAACAGATGTACATGTATGTACATGTACATGTACTATGCATACATGTACATGCAGCATAACAGAAATTTCAGCATATCCCTTTTAGAAGTCACGTTTCATTGAGCATGCAAGCTCAGAATAAAGGAAGTTAAAACTCTAGTTGAACTCTCTCAGTCTCATGGTAAATATGAGTGCTCACTTTGGTGAGTGTAGAGAAAGCAATGGTGGGTCCTTCTTTGATGGCTACTTCCCTCACACTCACATACATTGAGATAAAGTCAGGAGGACAGAGATTGGGATCAAAGAGAGGAGCAAGGATGTCACCCAGTGACCTCTGGGCTAACAATAACTGTAATATGGTGGCTGTCTGACTGGGGTCCCTGTGTATGAATTCCTAATGGGGGAGAGAGGGAGGGAGAGGGGGGAGAGAGGGAGGGAGAGAGAAGGAGAAAAGGAAGATACACGCTGTTGCAAAATGCTAGGAATATGAGATAAATGTTAAAAGTTGAAACCGTTTCAACACATCATTATTATCATTATACTTTTATCACAGAAGACTACATAGCATAGTTCCTTACTTCCTTGGCTGTAAAAATTTAAAAAATCTCTTATTCTACTACACCAAAGCTACATGTACATACAATATTGCATCCTCAAGCAGTTATGAAGCATTTATGCGCATGAACTGAATGATCAACCATCCCGAGTGATAATAATGTTTGAATGTTGGATATTCACCATAAATTGCACATGTGACAATATTAAATGATTTACTTGTCCCAGTATTTGTATGCATGATGAGAGGAACTGGCAGGTTGGTGGGTACTGCTTTGTTTCTGAGGTTATGAATTTTAACACTTCATAAAATAAAGAGACTCCGTTTGATAAAGCTAGAAAATAAGAAATAAAAATTAAAAACATGACTAAGAGGGAGAGTGCTAACTGCTAACCTTCACTGTCATTACTTTCAGATAATTTTGATAACTCTCTACAAATTAAAAAAGACCAGTGAAAATTAAATCCTCTGCTCCATAGAGTAAAAACTAGGGTTTCCCACAAAGCATGCTAAGTGAGCTAAACAGCATGGGCTTCATGAACTATAATACAGTACATGGTATTTTAAGCACCTTAAAAATCTATAGAAATCTAAATTGAAATCAGCTCAAAGTTGATACTCAACACAAGGACATGTTTATGTATCAGAAAAAAATTATAAAAATGGAGAAATATCTCCTTGTAATTTTTATTAAAATACCCAGTACTTTTCAAGCAACTTGACAAGAAGCTGCATGAGCACTATGCCAAAATCCTGTGGGAAACCCTGGTAAAACTTGTACACATAAAATAATTGTAAATAAATACAAGTTTATAGTCAGTGCTGGTTAGCCTACCCAACAACATGCTCAGTCCTTGCCACTGCTTTACACAAGTCAAATGAGACTGGGCAGGAGAGGGCACTGAGCAGCTCCTGATGTTCCTGTCTGTTCTGAGGTACCCTCTGCTCCCAGTGAGGATGGGGAGTCAACTCATTGAACTAGAGAAATAGAAATTATACATAGTTTTACTGTTATAAATAATATATCATTATTTGTATAAATGCATAAGATTGAT